TGTGTCTCCTCCTCCTTCTCTTCTTCCTCCTCCTACTCTCTCCTCTTCCTCCTCTTCCTCCTCCTCCTCTTCTCCTTTTCCTTCTGTGCTGTGTAAAGTTAGTCTACTCTGAAGCCATCTTGGTAAACTTCCCCAACAGTGTGAAGTTAGAATTCCTTCAGGGTGGTGCCAAGTTCCATTTGGGACTTATGTATGATTGCCTGGGTGGAGAAGCCATTGTCTTAAAAAACCTTGGTGTAGTTAAACTGCCAGTCATTGTTGTGACTGATTAATGAGTTTTACCATTAAAAGGATCATCCAAGCAAAGTCCACAATTTGGTTATAAAATGGTTGTTGGCACACCCTATGCAATATCAATTGAATAACGGTATGAGATAAAAATAACAGATGGGAATGAAGCTTGTGTGTCATCCATTATCATGTGTAATCAATAAATGACTTAATTCTCTTGAAAAAAAAAGATAGCAGCAAGCCTGGTCCCGTCCTGAGGCTGAGGTGCTCCAGCCTCTTCTAACTTATGTAGATGAACTTGCATCCTTGCCTCCTGTCACAGCAATTCTAGCTTCTACTGTCACTTTATCACTCACCCACTCTAGATCCTTTTGGATGACCCTCCTGAGCTTCTCAGACCCAGACAGACAATCTAGGACAATGTCTCCATCTGGAGATGATTAAATCACACCCAAAAAAGTCACCTACACTGTTTACAACAACACTCACAAGCTCTGGGGTTTTGAATGTGGAGGTCTACTACAAGAACACTCTTGTTCTTTTTTGTAAAATGATCAATGATATTTTAAAGACATGTATAGACGTTAATATAAACCACATGTTCACCCACTTAGAGGTTATTTCTAGGGTTCCTCATTCTTTTTTATAAGCAGATTTTTCTCCCACTATCTTCCTTTAGCTGAAAGGAAGATATTATTTCATAGTGCAGCCTGCACATGCTGAGGTTTTCCAGCTTTGCTGTAACAGAAAACCTGTATTTCACCATTGCTTTTGAAAGATAATGTTGCTGGGTACAGAATTTTATGTTAGCAGACTTCTCTCTTTCAATACTCTAGGAAACTGCTCTAGTCTCTTATCTGCTTGTAATGAGCAAGGCACTGTAATTATTTGTATACTTGTCTTTAATAACCTGGCTGTTTTTAATATTTCACTTTTAATACTGCTTCTGAATTATATTTATTTATTCATTTGTGTGTGTATGTGTGTGTGTGTGTGTGTGTGAGCGTGCGTGCACACGTGTGGGGTAGCATACGTGGGAGTAAGTTCTTTCCTACCAGTGTGGGCCATGGGGACAGAATTCAGGTCATAAGGCTTGGCAAAAAGCTCCTTTACCCACTGAGCTTCCTTGATGGCCCCTATCACTATTTTTAAATGTTTGGATCATGATGAACGTTGGTTCAGATTTCCTTGTTCCTCGTATTTGGAGTTCACTGGTCTGAACATTTTCATCAGACCTGGCAAGTCTCAGCCATTAGCCTGTCATCCTCACCTTCTCTCCATCGCCTCTGGGACTATTTTTATGTTTAGTAGGTCATTTTGGTTGGAATTTTTTTATTTTCAGTCTTTTTCCTCTTGGTGTTTCATTTTGAAATAGTTTTGGTTGCTTTGTGTTCAAACTTACTAACTCCCTCTTCTATAACGTCCAGTTTGCCATCTGTCCCATACAGGAGACCCTTCTAAGACTTTGCAGCATTCTATTCCAGAAGTCCCAGGGAGACACCATTCCCATAAGCCACGTGTGCACTTAATGTGTCCTGTTATTGTACCTGCTGTTCTCGTGTCCTTGACATGGGGTAATTATATTGTCTGTGTCATTTCTAGGTCAGATTTTATTGACTCCCGCTCAGTGTGGATGCGTTTTCCTGCTTTGCCTGTCTGTCTGTATTTTAGCTGATAGTGGTCATGGTAGTTTTGACTTTTGAGTAATGAGAGGTTCTGTGTTTCTATTATCTGAATTTTGTTCTAAAATTTGGTAAATCTTAAATTTTAAAAATTGTGTGTGACGCATGTACATATTATGTGTGCACGTGTGCAAATCCCGAGATAAGCCTGTCTGTGTGCCCTTCTTCCCGGGCACTGGGGTGACAGACACACACGGCTACACCGGGCTTGCATATGTGCAATGGGATCCAAACGCAGGTCCTCAGGCTTGCATGACAAGCAATTTACCAACTGAGTCATCTTCCTAGCCCAAGAATCATGTAAATTAACCATGTTTGATCATCTCAGAGCAGCATTTTAGTGGGAGGCTAATACAGCACTGCTTCTGAAACAGAACCCTGTGTGCTCTGCCTGAAGCCTGCAAGAACTCCTGAGAGTCCCCTGGAACTCTTTACGATAGTTAATTGCCTTGCCTTGGGCAGTTTTTTTTCCACACTGCTACAAGCTGAGTGGTGAAGAAGGACTCTCTGCAGGTCTCCTGGGTTCTCTGTGCAGCCATTGTGGTTCAAGTACAAATCATCTCCCATTGGCTCATGTGTTTGAATATCTGGTCCCCAGATGGTAACATTGCTCTGGGAAGTTGTGGAAACTTTGGGATCTATAGTAATGTAGGTTGTTGCAGGAGAGCCTCGAAGGTTATACCTATTTTTACTATATAACTTAGCAATTCTGCTTCCTGATCCACCACTATGTGAAGAGCTACCACCTCATGCTGCTGCCACCACGAATGGATGCTTCTGCCATCATGCCTTCTGTAGGGATGGACTGACTCTTCTGAAATGATGAGCCCAAATAAACCCCTTCTCCCACAGGTTGTTTCTGTGGGGGATTGGTCACAGTGAGTCCTGCACACTCTTAGAAGGCTTGTTTCCTAGGTAACCACTGCAGCCCTCTCCAGCTCTCCTTTGTACGTGCTGCAGACTGAGGGCAGTCCAGGACATAGGTGAGCAGAGGCCCGGGGCTCCTCCTATTTCAGATTTCTCAGTCACTGCAGGGCCTTGGTTATTTGATAGCCAATGTCTTGAAAGCTCACCGTTTCCTGTTTTGTCTCTAATATTTCAGACTGGAGAGGAAGCAGCCAGTGGAGAGGCAGTAAGCTGATGAAAGCAGAGCTTTCCTTGAGAGGGTCAGGAAAGATGGCAAGGTTATATTCTCCAACGGGGAGACTGGGCAGGCCTCACTAAGAAGGTAACATTTGAAAACTCAAACAAAAATGAAAGGACGAGTCATTCAGATAACTGGGAGAGGGGCTGCCAGGCAGAGGGAGCCCCAAGCAGCTGGTTGTGTTTTTGCCATAAGCTTCCTGGTGGACTCCCAGAGACCAGGCCAGATTAGAGGTGAACTGGACCTAGAGAATGGGATGGGGACAGACGGTGGTGAGAGAGAGCACCCAGAAGCGTTTAGCTTACGCTCCGGGAAGGAGAAAGGACAGACCTCTGCACGACTGGATGTGGTCAGAGCACACACCTCTGGAGCAGGGATGGAAGACTAAGGACACAGTGAGCTAGAGTCCAGAAGCATGAGTTGTTCCAGTGTGCATTTGGTGAGGGGGATGCAGCCAGGCCCGGGGCACCATCCCCCAAGTTCTCAGCATTCCAGAGAGTCATGGGACTTCTGCCACGCATGCCCCAGAAGTGTAAGGGTGTTCCTGGGACATACTGTGAACACTCACTGTCAGCTCACTTGCAGAATCCCCTAAAGATCACTAAATCACTAGAGGAGATGGTGATCAGTGACAGCTGTGGCTAGCAGCCATCAAAGTGTCTGCCACTAGGCTACCCTTTCCCCCTACTCACATATAGTTACTCCGTGTACCCGTTAGCTTTGGGGTTAGGCCTGCCCTGAATTCCTGTATTTAGAGGCTGGTCAGTCTACCGCATATCTTCCTTGGGACTATATGCTATCCTGAGCCCAGGATTCAACAAACATCCCAAACCGCATTGCGGGGCTCTTGCACTTCCTTTATCCCTAGCCACTTCTGTTCCTGTCACAGGCAGCTCACCTCGCTGCCAAGCACCACCTGGACCACCAGCTTCTCTAGCATGTTCCTGTGTCTGGCCACCCCTGCCTGTCACACAGGCAGCCACACACATGGTAAACGACCTGTCACAGGTCCTCACACATTCCTCTTGGCACGTTCTACACATAGCCCTGGTGGAGCCACAGGCCTCAGCGTTTGCAGCACCGTGAGCAAGTCTGCATCGTGGGGGTGACAGATTCGGCCCCACGTCCTTCCACTGCTACCTATACACTAGTTAAGCCATTTGGCATGGAAATGGAGCTTGATTTGGTTGTCTTGTCTGCAAGCTGGAAGTACATTCTAGAGAGTTCTGGGGAGGAATAATGGGGCTCATTCAGGCTAGAGCTCTAGGATCAGCCATATGGGCACTGGTCAAGAAGTGCTGTTTGTGAATTATTATATAATTTTTTTTTTTTTTGGTTTTTACGAGACAGGGTTTCTCTGTATTGTTTCAGAGGCTATCGGTCCAGCCCGGCCTCAAGCTCACAGAGATCCGCCTGCCTCTGCCTCCCGAGTGCTGGGATTAAAGGCGTGTGCCACCACCGCCCGGCAATTATTATATCATTATTATAAAATTAATATGTCACTTATTAAATTCTCTCCATCTGTGAACCAGGTTTTAGCACTCTTCTCTAACTGGCCAGGGTCTGAAATCAGGTGATATCACACCATTTCTAAGAAGTGTGACTAGATTTCTTTTGTCCTAAAGATTTCATGCTAAAACACTGGGCTCTTAGTGTCAGTATCCCCAAAGCATCCCATTCAGAGTTGCCCATGCGTATGGCTGGGAATGTATAGATGCTGGCAAAAGCATGTGTCGGTACCCTCACAGTTGGTTATATGAGACACGCCTGCGCAAGCACCTATGAGGATGTGTGCACAGGCACACACCCGGACGCCTATGCATACACACGGTCACATGCATGTCTATGTCTGAGATACCCACGACTTCCAGCAGAATCCGGAACTGCAGAGGGTCTGCTACACTTATGTGTCTTCCTAAGTCCACCCTTCCCTGGCTGCTTACCTCCATGTTTCTGCAGAAGGTGGCGTTGGTGCCAAACAGAATCTGGCACTGCTCATTGGCACTGTAGTGCATGCCTGGCAGCTTGTGTGGGAGACGCAGGGCGTGCTGACTCCTGGGGTCAGTGATCAGTAAACAGGCACTGACTTTGGATCTGAAAAAGCCAAGAAGCAGGTCAGTTTCCAAATGTACCGGACCATCTTCGTTCTGATTTTTCAGTCTCTGAGAGCAATGTGCCTCCAATGATCCGTGGGACAAGGGACTCTGTGCTGGACATCAGGGTTACCCTTTTGGGGTGTGTGTTCTTTTATTCTGTGGCTAAATATGAGTCTCTGCTCTGAAGACAATCCAAAACTGACCACTTAGCAGAGCCTTAGGAACAGCTCTGATGAAGCAAGTGGGTTTTCTTGGGGAATGGTGATGATTTTCTTTTTTTTTTTAAATTAGAATACTCTGAACCCTCTTAGAATATGACTTTGGGCAGAAGTCACCATGAACAACAGAGAACACAAGTTAAGGCTGTTTCATTTTTCATAAACTCAAATTCTGATTTCTGACACCATGGAGTTTCTTTGAGGGGTTTCTGGGTCAAAGCAACTATGTCAGTCTTGATGTCTTACCTGGCCATACCTCCTGCTATCTCAGAAGGCAAGTCAGGGGCTTCCTCTGTCAAGAAGAACTTACATATTTCTCCTTGGAAGGGGATGTTCACTTATAAAGGGAGATACATTTCCCCAAGGGGGCTCTGTTAGGAGATATAATGCCCAACACTTTAATTCCTATCCTTAAAGTAAGGCAAATGAAACTAGACACTTGCCAAAACTCTGGAGAAAGGATTTAATGCACATATATATGGCTGAGGTTAGTCCACAGAGCCCAGGCTCAGTCACAAGGCATTTGTTACTAGTGGGACCCAGCACTATGCACCCGAGCAAATGGACAGCATCTTGTCTTGTCACCCTGACCCTTCTGGGTGATATGGAGTAATGCCAGTTACTTACAACATTTTATTAGGAGTCTGTGATTACAATACTCAGTGGAAGTAGACTATCTTAAAAACAGTAAGTTCATTTCTAATTTCTATGCCTATTTACCAAACACTTTTTCCATCAATAGGAAACATGAATAAGACCCTTTAACTAGTTCAACCCATATTGCCCGGGTCCTGTCAAACAGAGCTGGTCTGTCCAACTCAACCTGCCAGTGAGACTCACTGACTCCCTTCTATTTCCACTTCATGTGGAATACACAATGTAGTAGGGAAACAATCAGGACCAACACATCAAGACTATAAATATAGCCCTAAATCGGACACCAAGGGGCCAACAGGGACCATAAGTATGCTTGCTTTAACAAGGGTCTAAAATCAAATAAGGAACTGTTCCACAGAAATATGAGAACTATAGACATTCTGTAGGGAGAACTAGCTAGTGAGAAGCAGATCCCTTCCCCAACGAAGGAGGGAAGTGTGCAAACCCACCCCTAGATAATTCACTCCCATCAAGGGAAGCAACTTCAGCAATCAGGGGACCCTCAGTTCTACAGCATCCAAGTTGCCCCTTGGATTTCATTCAACCAATAAGTTAATGATTCCCTACTGGACATGTGACATCACACCAGCTGCAATCTCAGGAAGAGGCCTTTGCCTATTATAGGACACTTTGCACTGACCACATCCCAAGTCAGATGAGGATTCATCCAAAGATTCACTTGTCATACTTGCTAAGTTGCCCATCTTTGGTCTTTTGGAAAAACTTCCTGTTGTTGATGTTACAGAATGACTCAAGGACTTACTTGAGGAAGTTCTCGAGGTCATCTCGACTACAGGATGACCAAGAGAGGTCGCTAGGGTTCCGGCCTTTCACCCACTCTCCTGACATGATGTGGGACCGGCCAGCACAAGATGAGTGGTCATCGTCGTGGTTCATTCCCAGGCTGTTCAGAGAGAAAGAGAAAGAATGTGGGACGCTGTACCCCACATACTCATTTCTAGGTCCTGGGTCAACTTTAATCAAATTGATAGTACAGAGATTGATGTAGGGTGATAGTGTTCTCACACTACAGACCATAGTCAGTTCATACAGAACTGAGGTGGTTTGATTACAGAATGTATGAAGACTGAGCAAAAAGAATTAATGATGAGTGAATAAATTCTTAATCATTATAATTAATGGCAAGTATGATAGTTAATAAAATCCAAGATAGCTAATAAAGATTCATCTTCTGATGAGATGACCTGATATCATTCTGTTAGTGGTCAAACGCCTTGTGCTCCTTTGAAATGAGCCACACTTTGCTGACAGTGGAAAACACCAGAGATTGAGTTACTGAAGAGCGTGGCTTCAAGGCTTCAAACTCAAACAACTGTGTTTTTGCTGTCTATCATCTCCCTCCAAGTTTTTGCTTGTTTACTTCAAAAATTCCCCATTCACAAGAAACATGAGAAGACCCAGAATGACCCCCATGCCTCATCAGCCCCCGTTCCCTGGGTACCATCAGGTATTATAGTCCTGGCACCTTCCTTGTGAGCTGTACCTGAGGAGTACTGCGAGGCACTGCTGGATAGGAGTTTGCCCAAACACTGATCTTAGTTTATCCAGACGCCCATGCGTGCCCCCGGCTTGCTGACCATAGTTTCCAGAAGAGAAACCCAATGTAGTTGAGGAAGCTGTTTTGTTGTCATTATTTTGTTTTGTTTGGGTGGATAATTACAGTGAAAGAAATACAACCATGCATTTTTGTAGGAGGAAGTCTGATGCCGCCATTAAACATGTGACTTACTAGAGGCGCATACAGATGAGGTAATAAAAGGGCGGTTTACCACACCGCTAACCACACCCACTTTAGGCAGGACTAAAGACATATACGGCTGGATGTAAAGACGTATACGTACGTAGGCGGAACTACATCACTAGCCAGGCCCACTTTTGGGCATGGCTAGGGGCGTTACGGGGGAAGGCATAAAAGACAGCACACAGGAAGTCTCGGTCTCTTTTCCTGGAGTTTGGCTTCCAGTTCGGCAGACGAAAACTCCTTGTCTCCTCTGGGTTTGGTATCTTGTGAGTAATTTCTACATTAAATACTTAGCTTTACTGTCAGTAATTGTGTGTCGCGTATCGTTACAGCGTCCGTTAAAGCCTACACATTTTGATTCATGCAAAAACAATAGGTGCTTCTCAAGTGCCAGGGAAAGTGTCAAAACAAGATGGAGTGGACAAAAGATGTCATCCCTAACTCAAGTCACCATCAGCCTAGGAAAGGAGACCATGATAAGAAGGGGTTCCGAGTGCTTTCTCTGAGCCCGAGTCCCTCTTTGCCTGGAACATCTTTTACCGCCTCTCTATATCCCCCTGCTTGCTCTTCCCTGCTGAGGTCTCACCAGCAGATTACACTATGGTTTCCGCATTCCATTAGTCACCAATACACATTTGCCTGTGTAAATGCTGCCTGGCCTGATCCTGGCCAAAGCCATATCCTCTGAAGATATGCTGCCTGGTGCTCACACATTCTGAGTCTTGGGCTAGCATGTTTATCCATCCATTTCCACCAGCTGAGGATGGTTCACTGCATTCTCCAGCCTTCACATGCCAGTGATACCCATTACCTCATACCCGGGAATTCATGGCAATGAAATATGAGGGCGAAGGTAAAGTTGTTTTCATGAAAACTCGTGAGGCTGGTAACTAAAATACAAGGCTACCATGTTCTATGGGCAGGAGAACAGTAAAAGATGAAGAATAAATCATATACATCTGGCCACAGACTGCTTCGTGAGACACTTTACCTTCCTGCTACATATAGAAATATGTTTAGGAAAGAGACTGGAGTGGTCACAGTAGTAACTTGGAGGTAGAACACTGGTTTAGCATATGCAAGTCCTTAGGTTCAATAAGAGAAAGGGGGGGAGAACAAGGAAAGGATATATCTTAGGGTTTCTATTGCTGTGAAGAGATACCATGACTATGGCAACTCTTATAAAGGAAATCATTTAATTGGGATAGCTCGCTTACACTTCAGAGGTTCAGTCCATTATTGTCAAGGTGGGACACGGTGGTGTGCAGGCAGACATGGTGTTGGAGAATTCTACATCTTGCAGGCAACAGGGAGTAGCCTGTCTTACAAGGCATGGCTTGGGCATATATGAGATCTCAAAGCCCACCTCCACAGTGACACATTTCCTCCAACAAGACCATGCCCACTCCAACAAGGCCACACCTCCTAATAGAGACCCTCCCTTTGGGGGCCATTTTCTTTCCAACCACCATAGGATAAAAGGAAGGGGAGGAAACTAGGCTCCAACTTGCATCTAGCAATGAGGAGGCTGATAGTGAGTCCCAGTAAGCAGATACCCTCACCAAAAAGACCTGCCTCTCAATCACAAAACTGGAAAAACAAACAAACAAGAATTGTTGATGATGTCTACATGTTTTATAAAGTTTAAGTTAAATGATTAACTACCACAAGACCCAGCAACTCCACTCTTAGGCATATATCCAAAAGATGCCCATTCATACAACAACGATGTCTGTTCCACTATGTTCATAGCAGCATTATTTGTAATAGCCAGAACTTGGAAATAACGTAGATGCCCCTCAACCGAAGAGTGGTTAGAGAAAATGTGGTACATTTACATAATGGAGTACTATTCAGCAGAAAAAAACCAATGGAATCCTGAAATTTGCAGGCAAATGGATGGCACTAGAAGAAACCATCCTGAGCGAGGTAACCCAGTCACAAAAAGAGAAACATGGCATGTACTCTCTCATATATGGATTTTAGACATAGATCTGGGGAGTGCCAGCCTACAATCCCATGGCCAGAGAGTCTGGGAAACAGAACCTTCATTCAATGGCTCATGGAAGCAGAGGCAGACTCCCACAGCTAAACACTGAGCTGAACTCATGGAATCCAGTGACAGAGAGGGAGCACTGATGAGCAAAGGGTTAAGACTGGGCTGGTTTAACCCCCAGAAACAGCTGACCTGACAAGGGTTAGCCCTTGAATCCCAGAGTGATGGCTGGGATTCCAGCATGGGACTGATCAAGAACCCCTGAATGTGGGTGTCAGTGAGGAGGCCTAGGTAATCTATTGAGTCTTGGGTAGTAGATCAGTATTTATCCCGGGCATACAAATGGACTTTGGGCACCCATCTAACAATAAGAGGTGCCCTGGATGAAATGACAGACTATGGACACCCCCATGGAGGGCCTCACCCTCCCTGGGGAAATGAGGGGATATTGGAGGGGTTGGTGGGAGGGTGTGGGAAGAGGGGAGGGAAAGGGAGAGGGACTTGGAATTGACATGTGAAGCAACCATGTTTCTAATTTAAATTTAATTTTTTAAAAAAGTTAAATGGTAAAGCACCTAAGTATAATTTTTTGATGTTTCTCCACCTGAACCAGTTTTCCAATTAACTGGTCAGCCAGCCTACAGAGCTCTGGAGACTCCCATGGAAGGGGTTTCTCCTCCCACCTAACCCATCCCTCAGCACAACTCTCATCAGTGCTGGCCACTAGCAAGCACAGACAAATATTTACCAAATAGATTATCTGACACTGCATAATGTGCCGGGAATATCGGATACTGCGCATTTGTGACAGGTGAGTAATTAATTTCATACTGGGGCCGACATCTCATAGGATGAAAACCATCTCTGCTTGAATAAGCACCATCTTCCTCTCCCTGGTGTGTATCATTTTCCCTAAGGGTCAAAAACAGATCTAGGAAAAGATTGAATAACCCTGCCCAATGAGAACAATCTAGATATATCCCTCCGGTCATTTGGATATATAAAGTGAGTTCTTTCTTTCAATGTAATTTTTTAATAATTCTTTTCTTTTTGGTGACAACAGAAAATGTTTACTTATATGAGAATATATGGAAAAGCAACTTTCAAATAAGGTTTCACATAATAGGCTTACTTTTTTTGAGGTTTGCTTTTTATGTTTTGGAGACATGATCTCATTTTGTAGCACTAGTTAGCCTAGAACTTGCTATATAGACCAGTTCTGACCTTGAACTCACAGATACCCACCCACCTCTGTCCCTCAAACTGTGGGATTAAAGGGGCGTACCTCTGCACCCTACTTAAAATCAATGAACTTGAAAAGATTTTATTTGGTGGTAGCAGGGTTGAGCCCATGGCTTTCCTTGTCCATGGTAGGCAAACATGAGGTTTATTTTTTTTCTAGACTTTTTGTTGTTGTGGCAAGAGATCTTAACATTATTTATCTTGATTTCCTAGGCATTCGATCTAGTAGTACTCACTACATTTGCCGACCAAGCATCTGTTCTCAGAGCTCACACACCTTGCATCGCCACAGTGCATGGCTTGGCCCTCCCCACCGGTCACCACCACCCACTCTTATATCATAGGTGACCTCTCCAGTACTGTTCTTTCTGTGACTGCCTCATTTCACACAGTGCAGTGGCTCCCAGCCTTTCCAACGCTGTGACCCTTTAATACAATCCCTCATGTTGTGGTGATCCCCGCCCCACCATGAAATTATTTTTTGTTGTTACTTCATAACTGTAATTTAGCTACTGTTATGAATTATAATGTAAAAAGCTGGTATGTGACCCCAAAGGGGTCATGACCCACAGGTTGAGAACCACTGACATAGCACACATTGAGAGTTTTATTTCCAAAATACATAAGCAGGTCCTGTAAGTCAATTGCAAAAAAAAAAAAAAAAAGAAAGAAAGAAATGGGGAAGGAAGGGAAGGAGGGAGGGAGGGAAGGAGCAGAGGGAGAGAGGGAGGGAAAGAAAGGAAGGAAAAGAAGAAAATCCGCTAATAACCTGAACTTGAAATGAAGACTAAAGATTCAAATAGCCATTTCTACAAAGACAATACACACAAGTTCTCAGTTCTGTGAAGAAGATGCTCTCGATGGCACCTGATTTGATCCAGGGAGTTGCCAATCAGAACACAAG